ATCACCACAACTAAGGTAAGATCCCAACACTAAGTTGATCGTTATATGAATTTAATTTTCATTCGTACATGTTATTCATTATGTTCGTTCACGAAGTATGTGAAGTGTCTTTAATGGTTCTTCTTAAATGTCAATGTCATGGAGATTATATGTTTAACTGATGGCCGCAGAGGCTCATCAGAACTTTAAGAGATTATATGTTTAACTGATGGTCGCAGAGGCTCATCAAAACTTTAAGCAGATCGTTTGATCATAGATTTGCTTATTTATGAAGATAATATGTAAGGATGCATGATTAAATGATTATTATGTTCATATAGCATGTGTAGCCTACTGAGTATTTCTTTGAGATGTTCACTCATATTTAACCTTTTCAGAGTAATCGGAGATCGCGCGATGGCTCGACATTAATGGCATATGAAATTTTTAGAGAAACTTATTTCTTATATTTTAGATTGCCAATTTTATGTTTAATAATCATTGGAGTATCCCAGAAATTGTAGTTTAAATCCATGTTTTGAGACTGAAAATTTTAACATTTGAACATGTGTTTAGAAAATTCCAACATTCTGCCACTGTTTTTTTTAGAATTGAACTATGGTCGGTATATTTGAAATTTTAGCATGATTTTAATTGGAAAAATGATCATTTGTGAGTTATCTATCATATGCAACTAAAAATAGGTTGATCGGAGTCCCGTAAAATTTATTATAGCAATTTTAGTAAACCATGACAGTCAAATTCGGGAAACACAAATTAGCTTGTTTGAAAAATAATTTCGTGCTTCAAACGTTGTCGTCGAGATCCCGAATTTTTATATGTTGTACTTATATGAGTTTTATACATTTCTGTAAAATTTCATAAATTTTCGTCAAGGTTTACTAGGTCAAATAATTTGTGACCTAAATTGTCTTCCAACGATAAATCATATCTCAGGCCTTAAGTTTTGCCGACCTTATATTTGGAAAGGGAAAAAATCATATCTCAGGCCTTAAGTTTTGCCCAATTCAATTTTAAGGGAACAGGTTTACATTTTTAAAACTATTAATGAAATTAAAAATTATATATAAAATAATTTCAATCTCTCTTGAGTCCGGCCACCGCCATTGGCATCCGTCCATTGTCATCCTCTCTTACTGTCGTCAGCATCTACTCTTAGAGTCACCGGCATCCAAACAATTTTATTAAAGAAAAGATAGAATCTGCAGATATCATCGGTGACTGATCTTTTTTTCAGATGCGAACTTATTGCCACTCAACGGCTACTGAGCATCGTCGACTCAAATAATAGAGAGAAAGGAAGAAACATTGCAGTCGTTAAAGAACATCAACTGAGCATCGCCGGTGACTAATCATCTTTTTCAGCAAAAATTGAGCAACAATGGTGTAATTTAAATCTATTTTTAAAAATTGAAAAACAACCTCTGGTTTAATCTACAAAGTACTCAGCGAAGAAAATAATTTCAATTCTCACTGTCGAAATCTGGTTAATTGAATTTGTGACCAATTTGGAGAACTGAGATCGGAGAAATCAATGGCATGTAACCAATTCCCTTGAATTTGTGACATGTGACATGTAACCTATAACTGTTACATATGATATTGATCAAATGACCTGTGACCAATTTTCTTAGATATGTGACCCGTGGACATTAATCTTACCTATACAATATTATCTGTAACATATAAACTATGACCCGCAAACTTGAATATGTGACATCTAATCAGTGCACAAAGACATGTGACATGGTCTGTGACCAGTTAATTTTGATATGTGACATGGTTGAGATTTATGACCTGCAAGCATGATTTGTGACCAAATATATTTGAACTTGTTGTCGGAAATTTGACTATCCCAATCGAAAGAACAAATAAAAGAGCAGGAAAAAACGGAAAAAAGAAGAAGATGAAGCAAGGTATGCCAAAGCAAATCTCTTTAAGACAGAATTCGCCCTCCAATAAAGTGCAAATGGATGTCTGTCTCCCAAGATATAACGCTCCTTCCTAAGTCGATATTGCACACTACCATCTTTTCGGTCGAACCAAAGAATGATCGTACTCGAACAAAATAACCACAAATATATTGAAGGAATTTTTGTAGAATATGGAGAGAGAAGAAATTTAGAAATTAAGAGTATATTAATTGATTTGGTGTGTTCAAAAAGGAATCTGGATGTCTCTATTTATAGAGATTGAAGTGTCTCATTAAATGGGTGTGTAACATATCATGAACTTATGCACCACTTGGTCTGATTCGTCTTAACCATTGGATTACACTATTTCCTGATCTGATGGCTCATATTAAATCATGAAGTGTAGTGTCCTTTCATCCTACCTATTCACCGGCATGCAGATGCTATGCGTACATCCACTGCCACGCAGGACGAAGTGACTCCACATGTCATGTGTCTGCCACCTAGGATGCCAACTCATCGAGCCTCTCGTTGCCATGTTATCGAACCATGAGTCCATTTTCGAAAATTATAAGGCTTCACAGCTCCTCATGATGATGCATACGTGCGAAGTGTACTTCTAAAGCGCCCAATGCGAACTTTGCAACGTACGCAGGCCGAGGCCGGGACTGGGGACAAGGCACGGCGCAAGTGGTGCGAAACACCNCAAAGTCTAAACTCCACGGTGATGCCCATGATCGCGCACCACTATAGGTCGTTAATCCACACCTAAACGACCTCAACCATGGACAAACATCAACCAACCAAAGACAAGCGGCAGAGGTATAGGCCACTTTGCATGGCAACAGTACAACCGCTTCTCATGGCAATGGTGCATGATTGCGCCACCAATAGAGAAAATGTCGAAGGCGACGACAGAGTAAGAAGAGAGAAGACGGAGAGGGAGAGGGAGAGAAGAGAGAGTGATAAATTAGAGAGAGAATGTTGTTTTTAATTTTGATTGAATTTTAATGTATTATTTATTTCATAAATATTAAATAATTAATTATCACCTGAAATTTGAAAGATAAAACTTAAAACATTATTATGTAGTTTGATATTAAAAGGCAGGTCTTCATATAATTTCCACATTTGGAAACCTTTGTTCACAGGCCCAAAAGTAGGTTCCAATCTCGGGCTAAAGACGAGTCACGAAACTGGGATTTTACACATTACCTTGAAGAAAAATGCTATTCATCCCCAGTTGGGAGCATCCTCAATCTATGTGGATGTAAATGATTGGTTAAATGATATGCGAAATTAAATGACTTATTTAATTTCACCTATCATTTAATGAATGTAAATGATTGGTTAAATGATAGGTGAAATTAAATTACTTATTTAATTTCACCTATCATTTAATGTCACATAAACGCCACATAGATTGAGGATGCATCCTCAGTGAGTATGAATAACATTTCTCTACCTTGAAACAGAAGAAAAATTGGATGTTGATAATTTCCACATTTGGAAACCTTTGTTCACAGGCCCAAAAGTAGGTTCCAATCTCGGGCTAAAGACGAGTCACGAAACTGGGATTTTACACATTACCTTGAAGAAAAATGCTATTCATCCCCAGTGGGGAGCATCTTCAATCTATGTGGATGTAAATGATTGGTTAAATGATATGTGAAATTAAATGACTTATTTAATTTCACCTATCATTTAGTGAATGTAAATGATTGGTTAAATGATAGGTGAAATTAAATTACTTATTTAATTTCACCTATCATTTAATGTCACATAAACGCCACATAGATTGAGGATGCATCCCCAGTGGGGATGAATAGCATTTCTCTACCTTGAAAATTCCGTAATTTTGTAAATTCCGTAATTATTCATCCTTGTCATAATATATATTCTGTGATAAGAAATTCGTTGAAAAAATAAAATAGTGTAAATACAAAATTCATTAAAAAAAGAGCTGGAAACTACAAAAATTTGTAATTTTTAATTAAAAATTCAACGTTTCACCCTATAACATATTTTCTATATATTTTTTAACTAATATAATCTCGCACATTTTCCATATTCATGGGTTACGTTACAAATGTAAAATAGCACGTAACACTATTTTTCGATTTTGAACGTCTATCCCTAGCACGAGTCATCACCATGATTTGAATTGTAAGACGAACAATGGAGGATGAAAACATGAACAAAGGTAAACAAAAATTAATTATTGACTTTAAACTTAATCCCTACCAAAATGGGCTAAATGAGACAATAGTATGCCTTTTGTCTCGTGACCAATCACAGCATCACTGATGATACAAAGAATGCTGATGATGCCAGTTTCCGTAGAATGTTCTGCATTATTTAACTGAAGTTTCGATTTAATGTTCTGCAAGTTACAGCGAAGGAAGTTTTGAGCTCGCATTGGTCATGTACCGACTACACCTGTTGACAGTAGGACAGAAATAACGCATTGAGTCGAACTCAACATTCATAAAGAGTATCTTACGTTGTTACTCTCTTTAAAGCTTCATTCGTTCACCCCACTACTTGTGGATCATGATCTGGGGGCGGGGGTGTGAGTGGAGGGAAGTACGAAAAACAACCTGAAAGGGCTTCCACTTCTAAGCTACTTTAATAGAACAATCAAGATGATCAAAGAAACCAAACAAAGTATATATCAATCCTGAGCAATGAAATCCAACGCGTCAAACTTGTTTCTACACAATCCAAACTATATATACACTCACATATCGGGGAAAGTTAGGGAGGGCATCGAGGAACCAGAGGAAGAGTAGTTTACAGATACCTTGAAGACGGGCACCTAAGAAAGCCAGTGTCACGCATTTGGAGTTGATCGGTTAGATCACTGCAGACGTCCCCCTCAAAAGAGTTAGTGTCGATAAGCAGCTGTCACAAGCCAAGCAAATTCATGTTAGATGACGATGCTAAGATTTTGTAGCACTTTATGTTTTCCTTCTCTGAAATCATTACTACAGTGTAGGGAGAGCCATGAAAGCATTTAATGTTTTTCAGGTTGCACACTTCCATCTTCCCGGACCAAAGCAACTCATTATTCTAATTTGAACATAATCAGGGAGATGGTTTCCAATCAAATTGTAGATCATTAAAATTACTAAATGCCCCAAGACCATGTAATTGGTTACTCAAGTCCTGCTGTGGCTGATTCATGCTCAGCTCCCGGGCCATTGTCATGCCTACTCTTCCATTTATAGTGTTATTACCAGGTGGAGGTCGAGTTACATTCACCATGGTTGAATGGCCGAGTCCATTGCCTGAGATCCCAAAGCCAGCACCACCAAAACCCTGATTACCATTTGCCACTCCATTTCTTAAGAGACCACCATTATTGCTGCTTGACAATATTCCGTTTACATTTCTAGCATCATTACCCATTGTCCCCATGCCCATCATACCACCTCCACCAATCTGGGAAGGGGTCATCCTCATTTCATGTAAAATTTTCTGAACAGAGCTTTGCGAATCATTAGCATCCGGGTCACCTGAATGTGCTGGCTGCTGCATTGAGATATTTGGTGAATTTGAGTTCATGTGTGCTCCTCCGGATAAGCCACTATGTGCCATTTGTTGTGGATTATTAGATGAGGACGAAGTGGGCGATTGGAAAGGTGAAGCACTTAATTGAGGCTGTGGCATGGCACTTGAAGAACCAGGGGATGGCATCTGAATGCTATTACCACTATAGGGACCATTTGCGCCAGACATTGGGTATTGCTGTCTAGAATTCATGGAGTTCTGGTGAAGAAGCCCAACAATGGTATTAGCAGAAGAAGTTGCAGGCCCCGAGTTCAGAGAGTCATTGGCATTTGGCATGCCATTAATAGATGCAAGATGCATATTATTGGTGTTTGAGTTCTGAACCACTGCTTGCTGCTGCTGCTGCCTTAACTGAGTCTCGGACTGTTGAGGCTGACCTTGTAAACCAGGCGAAGGATTTGTAGACCTCGGAAACTTAGCCAAGCTCTCTGCGAAGAAAATTAACCATGGCAAGAAAACTATATGAATATATGCAATAAAGATTTTTCTCATGTAAAATAGTGAGGTAAATAAACTGGATATGAACTTCAATGGTCGCCATGCAACCCAGAAACTCGCACAAGTTTGATCAGCATTTAACAACACAAGTACAAGCTGAAATGGGAAAAGCTCTATTGCTATTTCGCGCGACAATCCACACTGATGTAATGAAAGTGAAGGACCAGAACGATCTATAAAACAATTGATACAGTTTGATTCCAATACTCTTTTGCGCACATTGCCCTGGATGCTTTATACACAAGTTTCCTTCTCTATTTGTGGTAATAATGACGTTACACAATTTTAATGTGAGTGTGTATGTGAGAGAGAGAGAGAGAGAGAGAGAGAGAATAACTTGATCTGTCATTCTCATAAGCCATGCAATCTACCACCTGGAATACAGGTTCTGATTTCCACAAAATTCAACTGAATTTTTCTTGAAAGGGATTAGGTAGTGGGCTGGTTTGGCCAAACCAGTCTGGGATTCTCGTCAAACCCTCCTGGTTCTAAAGGTTTCGATGGGGTATAATGCAAAACTGTCCTCTAATGCGAACCGGACCAGTCAACTTGCTGGTTTACTGGCTGGACCGGACGTCTGGTCTGATTTTGGTAAATATGGCTTCATACACAACTTCACTGCCTCTTGTTAATATCAATTTTGCTAGCATTTTCTGGTTTATTTATAATTGTCAATTAAGAGGAGATATACGGATTGATCACAAGTAGAAATATGGTTAGAGCCCTTATGTGGCTTGAACTTATATTAAATTCAGTTAATTTATATTTTGTAACATTTTCTGGTTTTTTTGATTTTTGTCAATTAAGAGGAGATATTTTCTCTCTGTTTTCCTAAATTATAGCTAAAATTTCCAAATATTCAACTGCACCTCATCCTTGCTGTCAAAGGTTGTATTATAAATCCAGTTTTTCCCATTTGGCTCCATCAAGGGACATACACACCATCAATCAAGAGATAATCTTCTATTTTCTGATCATCCCTTCACATTTCATATTTGCTCTCAGTTTTTATGGTTACCATTCACCCTTACTAGCCGGTGCATGAAATGGAATTGTTCAAGCAATTGTTAATTATAATCTCTTCATTTACTTCCTATAGAGGATAATGGTACCATTCATGGACATGATCATTTTTTCTCCTTTAAGAACATGTACATTCCAACATTCTATGTTTTACGCCCATCCTTATATGAAATGAAATAAACATGCAGAAATAATCAAGAAAGAAGATTTTATGCTTACCCATAGGACCAGTACCAGTTTCACGGCTATAATCAATCAAATCTTTCATGCTATTCACCACTTCTGATATCTGAAGTGTTCATAAGGAAATATTATTTTCCGAAAATAAAGAGAGACAAATCAAAGGGACGATCATGTAGAAGCAATAACAATAACTGATGAGACGAATATAGCTACCATAACCAGTAAAATGCATCATTAGTATTATTGTAGTATTTTCCATGTTCATAAGATTATGTTTTTGCTTTACAAATATGATATTTTTTTGGCATTTCAAATATTATCAAGTCTTAATTCTATTTTGGCATTTTTCATTTCCAGGATTCTAGCTTTATTAAGAACGGGGGCGGAGAAATTTTCTAGTCATAAATCGGGTATAGAACATAGTAGTGAAAGAACTTAACACGTTGATATCTAGGATAACAAACCCTTTGTCCGTACACAAAGATATAGAAGTCAATTAGAGTATAATCAAGTTATTATTGCAATTTTTGTATTCGAGATCCGTGAAGTACTCAACCAATAATCTGGTCACCAAGGACTAATCATAAAATCAGGATCTACTTCATCAAATTGTATTCTAATTCAGAAAATCAGTAGTTTAATCTAGTTTAATCTTTATGGACTATTCTCAATGTTTCTCTCAATTCTACCATATATGGGCAGATGGTTGCTGCAGTCACTCACTGATTTTGAATACTGAAAGCAGGAATTGACTAATATAAAGAATATGTATGTTACCTGTAGGCACCGGACATATCTCTTTGTATATCCCAAATCATTTACCAATGGGACTTCCAAAGATTTGGCCAACTGACGAGCTGAAGCAACAAACCTGGATAATTACAATATACTAATCACTATAACATTTCATAAATATATCAACTGGATAAACACACAATGATCCTCAATTCCCTGCCACCATATTACATTGAAAATACTGCAAAATATGTTGTGTTCAAATACTCTCAGACACACATAGTTCTCATAACCCTTGCTTTAAAGTTTCCTTCACAACCATTAAAAGTATGTGACAACTTCGATGATGGAAACAATTGCATATTCAAATTAATATCCAAGACATTGCTATGGAAAATCGAAAAAATTAGCAATTTATAATTATGTCAACCTGTAGAAAAGCTCCAAAAACAAACAAATTTGGAAACATAAATTTGCTCCAAAATAATTTTTTATTCCCTTGCACAAATTATTGTAAAGCCAAATACCATTTTTCCATAGGCTAAATTCAACTCAGTGATCTATAACTGCCATTACCCACTGACAGGCAAGAAACTACGCGTACACCAGCTGAATTGACCTTGTTAAGAAGGGTGGTAGTCGAAAAGGAGAAAATGTTGTCATGCACTATCAAGAAGACAGCATGCAGCAACCACTAGATGTAAATCTTAATCCTCCTCGTTCTTTAATTTACAACTCCTTGCTCTTTAATTTACAAAAAGTTGCACAAATAACTTTTGTTGGCTTAAAAATCATACAAATTAAGAATATTTGGAACGTAGCATGTCTCAAAAACTGTCGACAACCAGCATAATCCATTGACCTTGAACGCAAGGCAGAACTGGACATTCTTCAAAGACCCATTCACAACAGAAAATTTTTGCTGAGCCAGATAGGTACAGAGAATAAGTCAAATAAAAAAGTTAAGTGAGATGTGTCCAGAGATGCAGAGCAGGTGTTCTCAATGCATGTTGATATGGAACCATGGTTTGTAGGCAGACTTGGCAACTTTAGGCATCCCTTTGAAGTCATATCATAATGCATATGCATATATATACATTTATGTGCATGAAAGCATGTGCGGGTGTATATGAGTTCACATATCTACCTAATGTGTCCACGAAGTACACTATATTCCGTTGGTCTTTGTGCATGTGAGAGAAGGTTGGAATAAAGTCTTCACATTCAGAAAGATGGTAGTGTTTTTTTCTTAACCAAAGCATCAGACGGACCGCTCATTTTCAACATTAATATACACATTTATCACACGCATCTTATGAAGATTCATGCCACTTTAAAAACACAATGCAAGCAACAAGTACTCACACATTGTAGTTATTTTGTAGCTCAGGAGAAGCAGTATTTGATGAAGCATTCTGAGTTGCAGCCTGGTATTTTTGGGCAGCAACCCCAAGTTGGCTAACCTGCAGGGTACAATAAAGTGAGATAATAATTACAACAAGGAGCACATAAACAGTAGTAAGACAAGGGAAACAGACACCCTGAATCAGGCAGAAAAAATCAAATAAATATTAGAGCTGAAAATCGAAAGGCAGAGGTGGTCCCATAATGATCAAAAACTGAAACCAATTAACAGACTTCCAAAATTCTCCAACCCCAGAGGAAGCATCGAACAACTTTAGTAAAAAGATGCACCTACAAACTACAAAAGGTGATGGAAGGGGAATACATGCAGTACAGAGTAAAAATAAAAAGTAACATTATATTCTTGGGATTGTATCCAATGGCGGAGAGGGGCCTGGGGGCACGTGTCCCCAGGTTTGCTGAATTTTTTTTATTTTTATTTTTTTGCTAACAAATCAATGGGCCCACTCTCAATCTCTCATAAGTACATCCTCTTTCCCCTGCTCCCAAACACTCCCCCAATTCCCAATTCGCCACTTCCAAACAGTGGCGAAGAACCCCAGGTGCCTAATACTCAACCCTCTTGCTGTCACCAGGCTTCTCTTCGGTCTCCAGCTCATCTGGCCAGCGCCTGCTGCTCTCATTTCCCCGGATGCTCTTTAGAAACTTGGGTATGCCACCCTATCCCTTTCTCCACTCAATTAAATACCAATAACTCTTTAATCTTTATAATATTCAATGAATCTTTTTAAATTTTAATCGTTATAATTTTTAATGAAATTTTTACTTATTATTTACTTTTTTCTATTAATCAAGTCTGCCCAAGTTCCCAATTTCAGTGTATTTTATATTCTTCTTTGCATTACTGGAGAACTTTTTTATGAAACTGAAGGTTTTTGGAACCGAAAGAACTGAGTGAATTTTTCTGTTTAATTGATCAGAGAAATGATGAGGAATTAATGGAACCGATGTTCTGAAGACAATAAATGCCGCCATTACTGCAATGTCATTGGAGGAAATCGCCTTCCTCAAGCTCCCGTTCAGGTACAAAAGATTTAAGAGCTTCATTTTCATTTGAATTTCTCGTTATCTGACAGTTTTGTCATGGAATTTTGACAGTTCCCAGTATCAACTGCGAGTTTATGTAAGAATTTCATGTGAGATTTGTGATATGATGTTTTTTTTAACTTTTTACTCCCTAGGCATAAAATCTTTACTCTCATTAAAGATGGCTTTTAGTTCTTAAAATGTTGCAGGAAATTTTTTCCCAAAAAAAAAAAAAAAAAACTCTTTTGATTATGGGATGAAGTTATTTGAAATTTACATATTGAAATCAGAAAGTTAATAGATCTACTAAAAAGAATTTAAAGGGAAGAATATATAGGTCGATCAATGATGAGGCTGAACATCTTATCCATAATGTCGATGTGGTGTTATTATTTTTGGAATGTTTTTGAAACTCTTTTCTACAATACTATATTACTATTGTTGCGTTAATTCAGAATATTTTTCATTACTTAATTTGTGCTCCCAAGACGAGTGTCCATATTGGACACATGGAGGCCCAATGGACACATGGAGGCCCAATGGGGGCCTCCATGTGTCCAATATGGACGCCCTCATGTATTGTGCTATGTACCCATAGCACAACCCTAAATCAAAACAACAGTTAAATTTCAAATTCGAGTTCTAAATCACTGACCTGCGGTTTCAGCAATCTTCTGGGAATAAGCTCTTCATGACGCCGAGCACAGAACTCCCAGGAGCATATCTGATAAAGTATTGAAGGAGCATTCTTAAATTAGCAGCTCCGCGAATCTAAAAAAACTAAAACAAAACCATTTGTTCATAGAGCAACCTTGAGATCTGGAGAGAATACTATTCGAAGTTGTCCATCACGAACAACACGAAGTTGCTCAAAAACGCTCTCCTGAATGGCTTTTGCATAGTCTAGAACAATCTGCCCAGATGAATTCTGATACTCCCTAGGCATATCAATGTAAAGTAGTTCTTCCAACGTCCCACTTTCATACTTTATTTTGAATAGTCTTGGAAGGACCTCAAAAGTTGCCTCTGGCAGACATTAACAAACATTAGACAATGAAGTATTTTTTATTCATTTATCTACTTTCTTATTTCTTCTTCTTTCCCCATTTTCATTTGGTTGGGGTTGGTTTAAAACTTCTAAATGGAAATTCTAAAAATAAACATAGAAGTTAGGCGTGTCTATCCATAATGACCCCGGAAAGCAATAAAAACTGGGAAATGAGCATCATATCAGCGGTTAGCAAAAGAGACAATAAGGATCAAGTCTCCAAATGCAGAAGGAAACGTACCAAATCCACGACCAGGTTTTCGGTTGCATATTTCACAGTGCCAAACAGCCTGCACACAAGTATAACATCACAGATCCCAGTATCAAACCATAATAGAACCGCACACGTTGAGAGCCATAACAAATATAGATTGTAGGCTACAAGCACTAGGCTATAATGTGTAAGTATTAATAATTGCACACAGGACCAAGACAGTTGCTGAAGTTAAAAATTGTCTACGATGCAACAAACCTGGGGGAAAACTCCAGTAGTTTGGCGGCAGCTTCCATACATAGAAACACACCACTTTTTCTTGGAATTGGGTGCAAAATATTCTGCAACAAATTTTCTCCAGAACTCGATATTATTATCCTACAAAATAAGTCAGCAGAGTTTTCAATCATAGGCAAACCAAAATGTCAAACAAAAGACACTTTCGCAACTTATTTTTCTTGTTCTCCTGAAAAATATATATATTACTTCAGGTCTGTGTTGTTGCTGATACATATAATGTGTCAGTCGTCGGGCACACATCCCAGGCTCGTATATTGGTTTGACTGGAGACCTAATAGGCAAACTCTGAAGTTGTAACTGTGCTTGCATTGGAGATCTTTGTTGAGGCATAGACTTTAAGAGTTGCTGTTGTTGCTGATGCTGGATTTGCATGAGCCTCTGTTGATGCAAAATCTGTGCAGCTGCAGCCACCTGAGATGACTGTCTGGACAGAAGATGCTGCTGATGCTGATGCTGATGCTGTTGCTGCTGCTGCTGCTGCTGCTGCTGCTGCTGATGCTGCTGCTGCTGCTGCTGATGCTGTTGCTGCTGCTGCTGTAAAAACAAAGACGCGTCTGAATGTTGTGGTTCCACTTTGACATTCGCCACACTTCTCATATTTGGTAATTGTTGTGGTTCCAATTTGACAGTACCAAGACTTCGCAAAGCATGCAACTGCTGTGATGTTTGATCATGCATCACTTGTTGCTCTAACTTAACTGGTCCAACACCTCCTAATCCAGATTGCATTGTTTGAAATTGTTGCTGCTGTTTTTGTTGGGGGTTCCCGGGAACAGAAAACTGCAGCTGATTATGCTGAAAATTGTTAGGATCAAGTTGTTGGACTTGTTTTTGGTCTATCAACATCTGATTGCTGGAAGTGGTTGGCAATTGTTGCTGGCCTTGAACTTGACCAGATGAGTTTGGATTCATTGTGATAGATGAAGACATACAAGATGAAGAAGATTGATTAAATCCCATCCCATTGCCGACGCTCAAGAGTGGATTGGTCTCAGCCCCGTTATCAATAAGCCCCCGCTGGGAGCCAGAACTTGGACCACCATTACCAAATGACTGATGGAGCAAAGAAGAAACATTGGGGCCATTCCCCAACATGTTCATGCTAAATTGGTTCTGCGGTGTTACAAGAGGCGGGAACGCATTCTGTGAAGAAATACCACCCCGTTGACCTCCCAACAAACTAGAATTTGATCTCAACAGGGATGGAGGAATCGGCTGGGATCCACCTTGTTGATTGGGAGGCCCTTGAGGCACCATTTTTTGCCAAAAACAACAGAATCTAATCTACAAAACCCTCAGTCCACTATACTGCCTAAAGTAACATTAAATCTTAACACCCCACCTTCAGAGTACATAAAACAAGATTTACAAATTACACAAAATGCTGAAGACAGCATACAAATTAGCTAGAAATATCCAACCAACATCAGAATTATGAAAATGTTCTTTCTGCAACATAATAAAAAGATAAACCTTGGGTAGAATTTACTGCACTGTGTTCTGAAAAATTCAAGATAAAGATTGAAAAATTCAAGATAAATATTGAACTCGATATTAACCTAAATTTCATTATTTTCTTCTCAAGTTATAATCTTTCGCCATCCTTCTCAACAATCCCTGCATTAAACAGTCAATGTTTAAGTCAAATTTCTAAATTTCACCCTACAGCGAAAATTAAAGGAAAAGAAGAATCGAACAAAACTGAACACAGGAAGCATATCTTAAAAATAAAACCATGTTCCACAAAAGAAAACATATGTTCTATCTCAGAAAAATTGAAGATTTTCTGAACAAAAATTTGCAAAAATTGAATTTCATGAACAATTATTTTGATATTTACTAAAATAAAAGAATCAATTAAAAAGAAACCCTAAATTTTGAAATCCAAAACTCAAATGCATCAATATTCTATAGGAAATGTACATATATTTGGTTCATATACAGATAACACATATTTTCCCATAAATTTCAGACAAAAAAACATAAAATTAGTTTTGAAAATAGAAATCAGCAAAATCAAAAGTAGCCTTACCAGAGCAGGATTTAAAAGTTGGGTCTCTTAAAATGACTAAAATGGAATTAATACACTCCCACTACTCTTCTTCCTTAGCATCAAATTAACCAATTCTTGGAAAACCCAAATGAAAACATACGAGTGAAGATAATATCTGTGCTGCGAAGTTGTCCTTACGAAAATCTTGATTAACTAGAGAGAGAAGAACACAGTTTTATTGAGCAGCTGAGCTTTACTTTTTAGAGAGAGGAAGTATGGTCGGAGAGGAGAGAGTGCGCATACATGTATATGGAAGTTTTATTGTGGACGTCAAATTGTATTGGATCGGATTGAATATTTTCCTCATTTCGTTCTCTCTCTCAAATGAAGTCAAATCTATTCTTCTTTGAATTGGAAATGTGCATTTGTTGATGTATGTGTTGATGTATGTATGTGTTGATGTACATATGCATGTATGTCAATTTTTTTAATACACATGTAAGCGAGGACGGGACAGAAAGGAGAACGAGTGCAATATGATATGTCATCGATACTTAACACATGATAAGTACAAGTGTTAATTAGATCATGGCAAGATAGGTTCACTAAAACAAACGTCCGCCCAAAAGTTGTTCCAAGTTTAAATTGAAAGTTGTGTAATATATACAATTTATCGAGGATGTATGAATATATATGAGTGTTCATAGGCATTTAGAGCATCTCCAACCATAATGTAAAATGGGCCGAAATTATGATTTGGATATATAAAATGGTCGAAAGCTATGCAGAGAATATGTAAATTGTATTTTTCGAGAAAAACATCAAAGAGAGATTAAAAAAAAATGGATTTCCATCTTTCTATTGGAGTAAAATTTGAATTAATCCATTGGAATGTAAATAAGGATGTAAAAATGATTTAAGAAATATCAGTTTACACCCAATTTATTATATATGTATTTACGTAAGCATGTATATGTATCTATATGTATGAATTTGAAATATGCATTTTTTTAATTTTTTTTTTTTATTATTATATGTATGCATGCATTTTATTTAAAGATATAAAACAACAAATTCCGTTAAATAGGCACTTTTTATATATAGAAAGATATAACGAAAGTTTCTCAAATTAGAAAAGATAATGTTTCTAAAAGATTATCTAACTCGAGAATATTGGCTTTCGGGTCATGGATTTAATATAAGTGAAAGTGAACGTCTAATTTTAATCACACATTTCATGAAATTTATAATTTTTCAATCACACAGTCCATCGGTTTTTATTAAAAAAACAAATGGAGCAGGAAACGAGACAAGTCCTCACCCCGTACCAGCCCCGAGCCCCGCCACGTCCCGTCTAAGGCGGGGTGGGGCACGAGACGAGGAGGGAGAGTGGCGTGGTGGAACGGGGTGGGATGAGGGTGCCTCACCCCTAACCCGTCCCATTGCCATCACTAGAAATAAGTGAATTCTTGTCATGTGTGTGTAATAATATCGTCACTCGTTCATTATTATAAGATTGAGAGTTTAATTTATGGGAAAATTGTAACTACGGTACCAAACTTTCTTTTAGTAATAGATTTTGTCCAAACCTTTTATTTATGCCAAACATGGTACCAAACTTTTAAAAATTCGCACATAAAGTCCAAATGGATGAATTGACCATTAGTTGACTCCAAAAAATAATTATGAATAAATTTAAAAAGGGTAAACTGGTAATTTACTATTTATAATAAATAAATGAAATGAAACTGAAAGAAAAGAATATGGTTCTCTCCGTCCCCTCATCCAACCCCACCCTACGCTAAAATGGGAAAACGCATCCCAGCCACCCACTTGCCATCGCCGACACCACCGTGCAACGCCGCCGAAAATCACTACCACCTAAGAACTCGAAATCTCTTTCTCAATTTAATATTTCATTCTCTCTCTTTACTGTCAATTTGGAAAAATGCATAGTAATAACCATCATCAGCTTCATCTTAAATCAAATCTGCAAACTACCATCAGTGCAAAGAAATATTAACAGACAACCAGATGCAGTATACATATAGCACTAGTTTTCTCCCCACCAACCTAAACCCCCTTTGCCAATAATTTTCCCCTATTTTCTCTATTTCAACAGTAATCTTGCAGTTTTTCTCTTTCCCTGGATTTTCCCATTTTAGGGGTAGGTTGTATTGAGTCCAACCCGCAACCCAAATCTGCCTCCCTTCGATTTTCCTTTTTGGGATTTTGTCTTTTAGGCTTTTTCGATGGATGAGTGGTGGTTGAGCAATGGGGTTTAAGAGGTGGCGTCTGTGAGCTGGTTCTAGAAGCGAAGAGAAAAGGGTAATCTTGAAAATCATCATCTTCAAGTCCTGGAGAGGTGCGGCTGAGAAGGTTTTGTGATTGTGAAGAAGAATGGATTTTTCGATTGGATTTTACGTTGGGCTTGAAAGCCATTGGGTGAGCATACAAAGAAACAGTGGAGACCGGATCGTGGAGAGGGATTTTCCCATTTGAGGCGTAGGTGGGGGTGAAGGGAGGAAGGTGAGAGAAGACTAGTATTTTTCTTTTTTTGATTTTGAAGGAAAAATGTGTAATGTCTAAATTGCCCTTGTCTTATTTGGAAGAAATTATTAGATTTTTTTTTTATTTTTGAGGTCAACTAACGATTTTGGTAGTCAAATAGACGGAAATCGTTAATTTGGACTTGACCTACGATTTTTTTAAGGGTCAACTACATACTCTTATCTAATTATTTGTTTTTTGCTAAACTCCTATTTGGTTTTGATAAAAATCATATTTTTAATAGATTATGATAAAAGTTAATGAAATATGTAATTGAAAATTTGATAATGGTCCGTTTGATTGTAAGGGTGAAAAATAGGTGAAAATAAAATGAATTTCAGATAAAGTAATTGCTTAAAAATTGTTTTGCAGGTAAATGTTAATTAAGTGTGTTTAATTGGTATAATTTTTTACCCGAAAAATTTTAAAATTTTGTATTCGTTTGGCTTTGTTTTACATGAAAATTGTCCATTAAAGTAATAATATTTTCCACAATTGGTTATAAAATTTGTTTCCATTGTCAAAAAGTAAAAAAAAAGAAAAAAAAATATTTTCTAAAAAATCATTTTTTTTATCAAAATTTAGTATTCGTTTGACTTTATTTTATATAAAAATTGTCTATTAAAGTGAAAAAGAATTTTACAATTGATTATAAAATTTGTTTTTATTGTCAAAAAAAAAAAAATCGTAAACTGGAAAATCAATTCCCATCAAAAGAAATTGATTTTCCCCAAAAATGATGAATTGTGGCTCATGAGGGAGACCTAAAGAAAACCAATTCCCATGAATTGTTTGCTCATCAAACATGTGAATTGGTCATGGAATTGTAAGCTTATCAAACAGAGCCTAGAGGTTTTGGATCCCTTGAAATGCATGATTGAAATAAAAATGAATTTTGAAAATGAAGGCCAAACATGGCTAATATTTATGTTTTGCCCACAAAATGGTTTTCCACACATCCTTTATGTGATATTTAATAGAGATTTGAACAATATTCATCTTGCAAGACTCATATACATCAACATTGAAAGATCGAGGGTCAAAATATCTCTATTAAAATATTGAGAACCAATTTAATAAATGCATAAGTTTTGGGACTGCTTTTGCAATTTTGTTACAAATAATAAAAGAACAATTTAATTAGCCCCTATTTGGTGGGGTTTAAAATTAAATTTTTAATAGATTTTGATAAAAGTTTATGAAATGTATGATTAAAAAATCGTAAAAATCATAAAATATATAATTAAAATTAATTGTTGATTTTGATTTAAATTAAAATTTCAATACCATGAGCTTAAAAAGTAAATGTGTCCCCAACATACGGAGGTATGATAGTGTCACCCCATTGTTCACCATAGTACGTCCACCAACCACATGTATATAGATTATGTAGAGGGGTAATTTGCAGCAGGGTCCCAAATGTATTCAAAAAGTACAATAAAGTCCCCAACCTTTAAATTTTGGTAACATTGCCGTGAACCTTTGGGACAATATGTGACCGAATGACCTTCGAACAGTCACCGTTGCCTGATTTTTCAAATAGCAAATGAGTACTTTCTTGATATTAGTTAGATCAATTTAAAAAGAAAAAAAAAAGACATTTTCATGAAAAAGAGTTATTTTTAACCATGTACTAAAAAACTTAAATAATTTCATCGATTATACTTAGCTCCTTTTTTGACAACAATTATTTCAAAACTCGTTAAATCTCATA